ATGCAGAAGAATAAAAGCAGATGATATGATAAGGTACAACTGACAAGTCATGTTATCAGGTGGCATAGGAGTAATGGATAACAAGACACAAGCCTATTAACGCCAGCACCAGGTACCAGAAGACTAAGGGTACTGCAAAATAGGACTCTGTTTACACTCACAGTTTTTACATGGGGAGTTATAGCACAGCACTTTGGTGCACACTGCTATTTGAAACTCTGTATTCCAAACTGCGAGGCATTGTAGACATGGCCTAAAAGGGCTGATTCAGAAAAAGGTAAGGTCTGCTATTAAGGGAAGCAGAGGGCAGGAAAGCTGTGAAGCTGTAATATTGTTGTCATTGCTGCTGGGAGCTCCAGGCAGCTCTCGGGCTTTCAAGTGAGCTTGAAGGTTTTAGACTCTACACTTAGAAGTGCTGGTGGTCACGGGAGACACTTATGGAGGTATTGCCAGCATCAGTCACCCTGAGGTAAGATACCTAAGGCTCCAGTCGTAGAGTGCTTCAGGAAACAAAAAAGCCCTATTCTCCCAGCCTCCACACCCATTGCTGCGGAAGATGGTCCTTTGCTTAGATCTGAAATATGTATTAAATTACACATGTATCCGAACAGAATATTTGTAACTAAACTACAAATGAACATTTACAGGAAATGGTCAGCTTAAAGAAAGAGACGATTTACCAGTTTCCACTTGGCCATAGCTCTCCCTAGGTGGTGGCTGAACTAGCAATTATTCTGAAATGGTAAAAACTCATAATGAGAAAAAAAATCCCTAATGTTTATCTAGGACTTGAGAGCTGTCCCAACATTACAAAAGATACAAAGAGAACTATTCAAAACTATTTTCAAAAGTTTACAACTAATTAGACTCTACACCATGTGCTGTGTTTCAGTGGCCACTGTCCCCAAGTGACTTACCTCTTTGCTACATGATTCAGTATTGTTGTAGTAGGCACTAAGTGACCAGAAGAAAAGTGAGATTATGAATGTATTGTGTAAAGCTTGTGCCAGGTGGTGAGAAGCAGCAGTGAGAGTCGGATTCAGTGCATTTAGGATTTCAGTGCATTTAGGGTTTCTTCTCACATATATATGAACTTACAGAAGATTTCTTCCAGAAACTTAAGAACATGAAACAAATCAGCTCTGGCTGTCCATTACAGGCAGAACTCCCTCATTTGAAAACATTCTGAGTCTGTTTGCAAACAAGAAACTATTAGTGGAAATGGAACAAATTCATAAATGTGATAAAACACACACAAACACACACACACACTCTCTCTCTCTCTCTCACACACACACACACACACACACACACAAATACTTTAACCATAACATAAAATCATCTTCAAATATGAAAAGGGAAGATCGGTCTCTTTGTCCATTCAGTGTTTTGCCTTTTTGATGAGACCATCAAAACTTAGTGGTATAGGGGTGTTGTTTTAAGATGTGTAAGTTATCCATCAGGAGCTAAGCACAGGTTGCCATATTCATTTCCACGGAGCCAATGAATGCCTGTCAGATACAGTGAAAACTTTTAATCACTACTGTGTTGGGCTGGGTTCCAAAGATGTGCTGTGTGTAGTTTGAAAATAAATCAGATCAATGTAATTGTGCACACAATCAGACTGATCAATAAAATATACTATAGCAAACAGTATAAGCTTTGAGAGATAAACATTATGACGGTGTGTGCTTTAAAAATGCATTTAATAATGGCAATAATAATGGAACAAATGCTTAGGCATGCTGAGCATGCTGCCCTCTTATTGGATTGTAATGAGTGCCAGGTGTTCAGCACCTCTCAAGATTTGGCTAAATAATCATGATTTATGCCAAATATGGCAAAAGTCATACCATTGCCCATTGTTTGTCTGATCTATTAACCTTTATTGCTTTGGGCAATACTTCATACAATTTGATAGTAAAGTTTTCTGAAAATAAAAGTAGTAACTCTTTGCTTATCAGTTTTCTATTCTCTGCTGCATGATTCTTCTAGTGGTAATTGTTTTTCATGACATTTGCCCAGTTATCTAGCTGTCTGAGCTATTTTTAAGGTGACCATCACCATGGTATCTAGGCAGTGACAAGTAGATAACAGGATTCACATGAAAGAGTAATGTGTTCTATAGTAAAAAAATAATTCAGTGTTTTATTGTCCATTCCTCTTAGGAATGCAACTACACTTTATTTAAAAAGTATACCCTTTTCAATGACGAAAAGATAAGAGAATTTGTTTTTCCCCCAAAGAGAAACTTCCATTCAATTAAGACAAATGCCCTTGCCGTATCAGTTCTAGAAAACAATGAAGAAAACATCTTTTGATAATTTTTCTTTTAAGTTAACTAAATGCTCAGTCAAATACATGGTCCAAACAATATCAGGTAATCTTTCTGATCTACTTATGACACATCATATCCCTCCTCAGAATTTAAGTCACTGTCAGACTATTTTTTTTTTACTATGTCACATGAAAGTCATCAAAATAAATGTTCTAACTAAAGCTAGTGCATTGTTTTGCCTTCTATCATAATCCCACTCACTTTAAGACTCATAAAAAACAGATACAAAAATCATATGGAATCAGGGTCTCCTGAAAATCAGTACTATTTGGCTTCAGCAGAACAAAGGAAAAGGCAGTTGTATGTATCAGACTATTTATATTTTTATTTTCTACATTCCCAGTTCAAAACAATCTGACTTTTACTTAGGAATCTTGCTGAATGAAAATGGAGCAATCCTCTCCCTCGTGGGCTAACCCTTGTAAACAAACAAATGGTCTCCCCACACAACTGATAACCTTTTACATGTGATTTATATAAATGGAACGGACATTACAAGTTACTGTATATTAATCATGCTTTCTCTCTTCTTTCTAATCTGAATATTTTATTTTTTACACCCAAAATATTAG